AGTATGATGTGATAGGTAGGGTATGAAAAAGTAAGGGTAAAAGTGGTTTTTTAATAGAAAGTGGAAGTGTTTTATTGGAAGTGAAAAAGATGAAAGAGGAGCTGTTTTTGAGAACGGAGGGAGTATATAATAATTAAATACATTTTTTTCTCACAATTTGTGATCAAAGTATGTTATAATTTAACCAAAAAAGTCAAAGCATGAAATTAAATGTTTTTATATTACTACCCGAGGTAATATGATATTTGGTCTTTTTTTTGTAGAAGAACTCATATTTATATTTTTACTTTACAGTGAACATTTTAACTTCAATATATATATATATCAATCACACGCAATATTATTTTTTTTTTCCTCTAAATTTTCGTTGCTGCTTTCTCTTCTCTCGTATCTAAAAAAGAATGAGACGGATGAAGTTTTAATCTGTTAGTGTAATTGCCAGCAAAGTAAAGTCTAAAATTGGTAGCGTAATATAATTGTCCCCCCTTAACTTTATTTATTTCGACATTCCTTAATCAAGTTCCAGTCTTTTTCCTTAAAAAAGGTCTTTATACATTATATTGAAATTAGTTTCACATTAAGTAAAATTTGCACTAAATAGGACTAAAACATAATAACTTTTCTAATGTAGGACTTAAACTTTTTTATTTCCTAAATAGAACTTAATAATGACCTAGTGGGAAGAATAATGTCCAGTAATGATGGACATTTACTTGAATAATGATTACTTGTTAATGACCAAAAGTCCTACATTGGGAAATAAAAACATATGGTCCTATATTGGGAAAGTCATTATGTTTTAGTCCTATTTAGGTACATTTCTCTCACATTAATACGTCTGATCCATTTACTCTCTCTGTCCCTGAAATCATTTCTCTCTTTTTTTCATCCTTTCCTTAAAAAAAATTCTCATTTCTATTAACAAATCGATCACTTTTAGCTTACTAATTCTTAATCTACCTATCACATCATATCTATTCACAATTAATTTATCTATCAAATCTTGTTTATATTCATCACATCCGAGAACATTTTTGGAAACCTAACACTAAAATAAACTTTTCTTAAATTCCTGGATAAACAAAACCTCCCATGTTTTTAGGGACGGAGAGATGCAATATATATACCTTAAACCTAGCTAACCACTTCTATATCTTCATTTACAAAATATATATAATTAACCTTATTTAACCTCCATTTCGATCTTGGGGTTGTGTACTTCTAATTGAAATGGCGACGTTACGTGCAACATGGCGTGGTTTGGCTTTGGTAGTTTGTCTGGTTCTCTTTCTTGTCGTCGTTCCGAGCTTCGCAGCTAGGCCAGGAAGAACACCACCAACACTAGTTGTACTGCGTCCAAAGGCGGCGGCAGTGGCGGCCGGAAAGCGCGTTTTGCCGAGAAGTTTGTGGTTGAACCTTCTCGGCAAAGGGGGTAGTCCGGGATCTGGGCCTACCAAACCACACCATGGAGAATCGCCGGTGAAGGCGCCGGTGAAGGCGTAACATGCTTTAGTTCCACTCCGGTGATCGCGCGCATGTTAGTTCACGACTCTCTTTGTTTTCATTGGTGGTTGTTTCTCGAGTGAGTGAGAGATACTCTTACAAGGCAATGTTAGGGGTACACCAACATGAAATACCCATTTGTACACCATACTAACACAGATTCAAAATATCTATCTCTACAATACCTGTATTAGCTTGCTTGGTGTACAAATGATGTATTACTCATTTGTACACCAGACTAACACAGACACACATATAAACAAAATATATGTACAATAGCTGTATTAGCGTGGTGTACAAATGAAGTATCCCATGTTGGTGTATCCCTGTATTGATTCTTATCGCATGTTGTAACGTATATTGTGGATCATGTTGTACGTACCGTACCACAATCGTGACACTACCACACGCCTGATATTGTCTCATCTATTAGTAGTATTAATTTTAATTTACCAATCAAGATTTTGTTGGAAGTTTATTTTGATTTCAAAATTGAATTTGAAATGAATGGACAAAACCCTTATTTGAAATCAAAATGGTAGTATTTTAAATAAATGGGCGTGTCTCTTTCAAAAGAGACATTACTATTAGTAATACCCCAACTCGTATAACCCGAATACATGGGTCAGTGAGCTGGGTTGCTACTAAATTGACATCTAAACATAACTTAATTTCAAAACAATTTTAAAATAAATATTTAAATTATAATTCAACATTCATCAGAGTAATTTGAAAAGTAATGCAGAAGCATAAGTCATTATAAAAGACAACTTGAGAATCAAGCCCGTAAAAGTAATAAGTCAATTTGAAATAATTAAGAGTTCCAAAATCTTTAAATATGCCCACACACATCTCTTACTCCTCATTGTCTTCTCTATTGGCTATAGGTTCATTTTGTCCTTGAGCACCTACGTGTAGCAAATAGCAAACACTACATGCTTAGTATTAAACCTAAGTGAGAAATGTCCAACGTTTCAGCTATACATACACATACAGATGACCCTATTAGCCCGTATAATCATATGATATCATGCACACAAACATACATAAAAACACATACTTGAAGAATAAGATTAACTAAATTTATACGCTAATGGGTTGCTTTAATTTCTGGATTCATACTGTTACTTATCTCATAACCTATTCTAGGCTAAAACTTATTCTTGATACTTTCCTATGAGAGTCATGACATTCTCCTTCGGAACGAAGATCAAGCTCAAACCAATTCATGAGTTACTCGTTGGGTGGGTGAAATCCATGTCCCCTTCAAAACGACAGTTTATAGAATCTCGTGCGTACGTTTGTACCCGATTAGCCAGTAGACCCAGTAGGTACCACATGACTCTAACCTTTCTAAACTTATTGCATAACTCGCCTCTATTCCATTCAGGTCAAATCCTAGCTAGAGTTCCTCTAGGTTCACAAGTTACTTTTAATGTTTTACATAGCTTCTTGCACAAGTTTATATCAAATAAATATTCACATCCAACATAACAAACATAATTAACATGTTCATATATTGGCCTAGTGTTGGGTACAAATTTCCAAGCTTACCGCCATACAACAAATAAAGTCTCGGAATTGGTCCTCAATGAAAAACACACACTTACGGATGAACTCTGGGTACCAAACGGTACCTAGTCCGGTACTGGGGTACTGGAACGGTACCTGGTACCGGCTGGGACAAAGTCCGCAGCACCAGATGGCTTGTGACGGTAGCCAGCTACCGTCCTGGCGGTTGGGCCTACCATCCGTCTGGTACCTAGCTAGGCACCGAACGGTCGTTGATTCTGGCAGTACCAAAAGGCCTCAGGCGGTATTGGGGTACCAGCAATAGCGGTACCTCGCTACCATCTGACGCGTAATTATCTGTTTCTGCACCATCTGTGCTACATTGGGAAAAAATACATATAATGTTATTTAGGGAAAGTCATTATATTTGAGTGTTATTTGAATAAATTTCCTATTAATAATCAAAACAAGTGAAATGGAAAGTTATTTGAAAGTTAACATTATATTTTAGGTAGTATAATCGTATGTATACATTGTACAATGCTTTTAATTTATATGGAAATTTTTAATATGTACTCTTATTTATTCTTTAAAAATAACTTCATAAATTGAAATATGTCATATTTGATTTGGGATAAAGGAAAATGTATATATGGAGTATTTTCTTTTTGTTAATTAAGATAAAACAAAAACGTATGTACCAACATGATTTTCTCATCACTTTCACATAATCCAAACAACAATACTTTTCTTTCCATTTTCTCATCACTTTCTATCTCTTCATTTTGTTTCCTCTACTATTTTCCTTCCCCTCCTTTTCTCACTTAATCTAAACAAAGGTGGATGCCAAAACTGTTAGGGTCCGTTTGGTATACAGAATTTGTGGAATTGGAATTGAAATTCCATGGAATTCAATTCCATAGAATTGAATTCTGCCAATTTCAATTCATTTTTTGCACTATCAATTTCAAATCTACATAATTTTTGTGCTACCAAACACTAGAATTGAAATTGCAATTTCCAATTCTAATTTCATAGTTTGAATTGTATGTACCAAACCAGACCTTAGTTTTGATTGAAACCAAGAAAACAAACCGTCCGAGCTGCCGGCAAGAACAAGATCATGGCAACAATACATGCTTTTTTGAGTTTTTTTTTTCAACTAGAGGCACCTCATAGAATGTATGACAAAGTACACTCCATAGCTATATATTAACATTTTGATAATTCACACTGACATAATATTATATATTAGTGCGATTAAAATATTTGTATTAACATTTTGTGTCGATGTAAATTATCATCCTAGAATCACACTGACACAAAATATGTACATGCAGTGTACAATTTGGGGTACAACTTTTAAGATAAAGTAGTTAAATTCTTTTGTCAATAAAACAAGCTCCGGGCAATTAATACATCCCGCTAGATCGGTAATGTTCAACAGAAATAAATTGTCACAATTATCGAAAAATTAGTATTTCACAAAAAAAAAAAAATCTTATGGTGAAGAGGATAGTGAATTGTATTCTAAACTTGGAGTTATTCTACTAGAAAGTACTATTTCGAATTAACCTTACTTTTGAGAGGATAAAATTCAATTTACGATACAAAATATTTGATCACGCTTTTCAAATTTAATATATTTGAAGATTGGTGTAAATTTTTCAAAATAAAAATTATAAATTTATAGATTACATTAAATGTTCTAAAAGACAAAATCATCTTGTCTTTTGTTTATAAGATAGTAAGGGCCTATTTGGATAAAATTATAACGGTGTATATTACTTTGAAAACGCTACCCGTAGATAGCCTTTTCAAAATGCTAACACTAATCGCTAACGCTAATCCCAAACAGACCTTAAAAGTACTCCTTTTTGAGATGAAGGGGTGGGGACATTATTTATTAGAGAATTTACTTAAATAACACTAAAATATGGCTACTTAAATAAGGCTATTTAGTGTAAATATTTCCTCTCTTAATGTATCACTTTTAGTCATTATTCAAGTAAATGTTCGCCATCACTAGACATTATTAACATTATTAAGTAGTATTTAGAAAATAAAACAGTTTGAGTACTTTTTAGGGAAATAACTTAAATTTTAGTGCTAATTAGTACACATATTTTCTTATTTATTTCTGTGATAAATTTGGAGGGAAGGGATTAAGACCAGACCGGAGGGCGTCCTCCAAGGGTCCGAAGAGAGGGTTTGGGAGGTTGTCCCAGTCATACCAGTCCCAACCCCCACACTTGTCTGGCTCCAGATTTTGGGGCACTGTGTTCTGCCCTGGAGGAATGGTTGCCCGTAGGAGCACACAAACAACATGAACTCTCTCTGGGACCATCACATTGTTGATGGCTGTTAAGAACCCAACCTTGTCAATGTCTAGTCCTGTCTCTTCTCTTACCTCTCTTGCCCCACATTCTTCAAAACTCTCCCCTGAAATTCAAACATAAAAAACAAGAATTCGTACATAAGAGTTAGTTTCCGTTCCAAAAGTATTGCCGCATTTTGTTTAAGAGATCATCCCACGTTAGAAATCCAATAGTAAAATAATCGGCATATAAGCTCTTGACTTGAATTAACTAATCGAATAGATTCAATCTTTTAATGTGATTCAATCCAAGTACGTGTCTTATTGCCCAGTCCAATTATCCCTGTCCCATTTTATATTCTATCATGGTATCGGAGCGGGTTTTGGCCCACCTCTTTTGTCAAGGTGTCTGTCTAGACGTTCATTCGTAGCAGTCTATTTAAATTCTATCATGGTACGGTAGCTCAAGCAATGCCCCGATATGCGATGAGTGTGTATCTCCTACTCAATCTCTTTGTCTCAATATCAAAGGGATGATGAATTCTTTTTGGCGGACTGGAAAGGGAGTGAACACCTTAGGTATTTGTTGGTTTTCGTGGTAAAGTCTTTTGACTCTGAAAAAAATTGGTGGGTTAGGGTTTCTCAAGAAAATCCATGCTTTCAATCTAGCCATGTTGGGAAAACAAGGATGGTGGTTCTTGGCAAGACGAGAGGCTTGGTTACTCAGGTACATAAAGTGAGGCATTTCCAAAAATCATCTTTTCTGGATGCTCAACTAAGGGGTACTCCAAGTTGTTGTAGGCGCAGTGTTCTTGCTGCTCAAAATCTGATTAGAGAGGGAGTTAGACGTCGCATAAGAGATGGGGCTAACACACTTGTTTGGGGTAATCCATGGCTATTGGGCGAAGGGAGCCCTAAGATCCAGTCTGCACAACCACCATTAATACCGAATTTGCCTTAAGGTTTCTTATACACACAAATACAGGACCATGGATGTTGGTCATGTGTAGATCAATTGTACCGTAACAAAGGCTATGTGAGTCAAATCACAATCGAATGTCATCGATGCTTGTGTGCTAAATGCACTATAAGGCTAGAGTATCCGCCGCTTCTAACACTAATTGGTTTTAGAAGAGTTAGTAGCGCCTGAGGTCCTACAAGTGGTATCGGAGCCAAAGTCACAAGTTCGATTCCCACCTGGAGGAATTGCTGAGGGGGACATTGTAGGTCATGTGTGCATCAATTGTCCTGTGACAGAAGCTATGTGGGTCAAGTCACAATTGAATGTCATGGGTGCTTGTGTGCTGAATGCCCTATAAGGTTAGGGTATGTATGCACCTCTTCCAACACCAATTGGTTTTTAAAAAGTTGGTAGCACCTAATATCCTACAATAGAAAGTGGATGTTTTGTCCAACTTACTGGAGACTCAAGAGAGGACCAGAATTTTGCGGATCCCACTAAATTTGTCCGGACAGGTGAGTGGTATTGGGAAGGGAATGCTCTTGGAGAATATACTCTGGAGGAGGGTTACCGACGCTTCTCTGGATAATCCACTGTTGTCCTTGGGTGCGTATATGGCGTTTACTGGTAGCTCTAAAAGTTAAAGTTTGTCTTTGGCAAGTTTCTCCGATTAAAGTTTGGCTTAGGCTGGCTGACGAGGAGCAGGGTGGAAAGTGACTTTGGTAAAAAATAAAAAATGAAAACGAAATCATTTTTCTGAATTTTGGGCTGATTTTCCATTTCACCATATTCTTCATTGAGTAATGCTATGATTACATCAAAAGTGTAACCCATCACTCTCCTAAACATACATTCCTTATTCATTCTCTAATTTTTTATTAACACCCAAATTCACATGGTAGTGAGAGGATGGTGGGTACACTTTTGTACCTCTAACAATTTTCTACTTCATTTTTTCACATAAAGTCACACAAGTTCAAGTGCGGATGCGGGTGCACAAATGCGCTCAAACATAAAAAAGTACGAGTGCAGGTGGTCTTAAAGCTAAATTGAAAAAAAACATATATATGTATATATGTATGCTTTGAAAGTACTCATATTTTTAATAATATTAATAATATTCTTTCTTAAACTCCAAAGTCATATTCTTTCTAATTGTCAATTTAAAAGTTTATCATGCATAGTTTATGAGGGGTGCTTGGGGAATCCCACTTAGGTACACCAAATATAAATCAAAACAAAAATAGAAACACATAGATAGATATTGAATGTCGGTGAGTGCCCAGATACTAAATGTGTGCATGTATCTATTTTTGACTTAGTGTACACTTTGTGTACCCCAAGTGAGGTTTCCCAGGCATTTTTCATAATTTAGACATAAAACATATCGAGTATGTCATAACAAGAGTTTGGAACTGCTAAATCATACACATTTAAATAACAAAGTACTCGTAAGATAATTCCAAGAGAGTTTACAATTAGAAAAAAATCTATAAAACTCAGGAAAACAAATTATATGAGATTCTAAACAAGAAATCAAATTCTGATTTCTTACTATATGCAACGTACTTTTTTTTATATTAAGGCTCCATTTGGTACACGGAATTTAAGCCGTTTAATTGGAATTGGAAACCTTAATTCAAATTCATTATGGTGTTTAGTAGCACAAAAGCATATAAATTTGGAATTGGTAGTGCAAAAAATGAATTAAAATTGGAAAACTCAATTCATTGAATTCAATTCTATAGAATTTTAATTCCAATTCAATTTTGATTCCGTTAATTTTGTGTATCAAGCGGACCCTAAAGAAATGAACTAGATCTGTACATGCACCTAAATCGCTAGTGCTTGAATTACAAAATCATTGTGCGATCACTTAGATGTATTAGATCGTCTTAGACTGCCCAAAGCACATCTAAAGCCCCAACTCAAAGATTAAGTTTCATCCAAAAAAAAAATAAAAAGAATTGTGTTACTTAGGTATCAATCGCATTTCTCTATGACGAAAAGAATGAGAGAGAGAGAGATATCGGGCAAACGAATTAACTGACCGAACTCGAGGTGGCCGCCGGGAAGGGCGAAGGTGTTGTGGCCGACGGGAGAGAGGCGCCGTCCTAACAGCACCTTATTCCCATTTAACAGGATCACCGCCACTCCTACCTTAGGCCGCGGCGGCAGCGATTCCGCGCCGCCATTTTCCATTTTAGCAGGTCGATGAATCAGTGGGGTTACTTCGGGTAGAGTGGGTAAAACAGGGGAAAAAGAGGAGTGGTTTTATTTCTTGGTGGCTGAACATTCCGCCGAGACTCCAGAGCATTTTTATTGATCTCGATGATTTTGTTTCTGCTATTCCCGCCCATTTATCCTTTTCCCGCGGCTGTTTGGACATGATTGCCGCCTTTTTTATTATTCACTTTTATACTTTAATGTTAATGAAATTTTCAATAAATAAGACTAAAAAAATATTTTCTAATTTAGGACTTAAAATTTTTTATTTTCTAAATAGGATTTAATAATAACTAGTGAGAAAAATAATGTCCATGTAATACTGGACATTTAGTTGAATAATGACTAATAGATAATGACCAATAATCCAACATTAGTAAATAAAAACATATGGTCCTATATTAAGAAAGTCATTATGTTTCAGTTCTATTTAGGTAAATTACCCTTAATGTTAATGACACTTATCACCATGTTAATCACCAAGCAATCGGAGGATTACAGAACTAGCTACTAGGGAGGTAAACAAATCAAATACTTTAAATTCGATTATTTGTTGTCAAATATATATAATGATTCGAATTTGCATTATTCACATTCAAATATTAGTTTTGATTCGAATATTAAACAAATAGAGGTATATTCGATCCGGATGATATTAGAATACATATATAGAAATGGGCCATGTTTTCGACATAAATAGTCACGCAAACTGATAATATAGTTATATAGTATAAAGTGTATTTAAGCTACTAAGAGTTCGACAAATTAACGTAACACGAAAATCTAAAGCATGTGATTTTTAATAGTTATATGTTATAAAATATAATAGTATAAGAAGTACTGTAAGTTAAATTATTCAAAATCGATGTTGGTCCATCATATAAATTACGGAGTATGATTATTCAAATATTCGTTTAAGATTCATTAATTATTCGAGTATTGATCAAATACAAATACAAATTTTATTTTTTATTCGTCTCACATTCAGATTTGGATTTGTATTTGAAAAAATTAAACAAATATAAATTTAAATATTTCGGTATTCGCTTCCATTCAATTCGTTTACAACCCTACTAGCTACAAACGTCTTTTTGGCGCCCACTCCTTGTATATTTAAAACACTCTCTGCCTTCCACTATGTTTGCATTCACATTTTCACCGTTCCAAATAATCAGCATTTTACCCAAATACAACAACAACAACAACAACCCAGGTGAATCCCACAATAGTAGGGTCTGGGGAGGGTGTGTATACGCAGACCTTGCCCCTACTCGGAAGTAGGGAGGCTGTTTCCAAGAGACCCCCGACTCCACCTGCACAAAAATGTGGAAGGGAACACAGTATAACACAGATAAAGTACCAAGTACAAGCAACACGTACAAGCAATAGCAGAAGATTCCTAACAAATACAACACACTACAAAACAACATCTACAACACCGAGCTCCTATCCAGCTACTCTAATCCTAGTTTTCCAAAGGTTTCAGCTACTCTATTTTACCCAAATGTGAATTAAAATTTTATTTTTTGATTTAAATATTGGTATGGTGATTAAAAAAATACAAGTTATATATTTAAAAGCTACAATAAAAATTTACAAAATAATAGTTGACAAATATTTATCAAAGGGATAATTCCCTAGATAAGAGTAAAAAACTTCGTATGAAAATACTAAAATATGAGTTATAATTCTTTTAAGACCAGTATAGGTGTTCACGCTGTCATTGTTCACTGTAACACTCACCACATAGTCACATTGTAACTGACACACTATCACCACCACACTACGATCTGTTGCCGCTGGCAACCAAAGTGCATGTCACCGTAGACCGTCGTGGATCGACTGATCACACTGATATATTACATTGTGATCACTATTCCATCACACTGCCAATGAGCACTCCTACACCATAATGTGAGTCTACTCCAATTTTGGTTTTACAAGACTTAGGACTCTTATTTTGATATTTTCATACTTTTTTCCTCTTAATTAGGAAGATTTCTTTTTATCAAATAATCAATAATATAATTACACACAAATAAAAATAATTTGATACATACTAAAATGCGTGGGCATAATGATACAATCACAGTCATAAAAATTGTGTACTTTGGTAGCGGGTGGAGTTTACTTTATGTAACACGTTTATTTTTAGAGTAAATTACTGAAATAAGAGCTAAAGGTACTCGTTTTCCGTAAATAGGAGTCCTCCTAAGCTTATTAGTTTTCGGCCAAGGGAATAGTCCAAAATACCCTTTCATTAGTCTTTTAATTATTTAAAAATGGGGACGGCGGATTACGGGGAATCGCAAAGAAAAAGGCGTTGTTTTGGTTTCTGATTGGGCGCTAGAGTTACCATGTAGAACTATACTCCTATTGCATGCTGGCCGAGAGTCTTTAGCAGAGTTCAACCAATTTAATTTCCGTTTGAGATACGGTTCACTAATAATTTCTGAGAGAAAACGATGACGACCAGAAGCGCGAGTGCGAGGAGAATGACTACCAGAGCGGCAGTAGATGATGACGACGATTTTGTCGATGAAATCCCAATTATAAAGACTACGAAGTTAATGAAGACAACATCTGGGCGGGTGAGTCTTTTGTGAGTCATTTTGCTTCAGGTGTCTGTTAATTTGTATGAAATTGACCTAATTTTGGGCAATTTGTTGATGCATGTTTGATGTTTGATGTAATGAATGCGGGTAATTTGTGGTTTTATTATTGGAAGAGCTTGATGCATGTGAGATGTTGGGTGAAGTGTCTTGGGATAATGTCTTTTTAGTGTCCGAGGAAACGCCTGATTAATGACTGTGTTTATTAAGTGTTTCTGTTTGTGGGAAAATTTAGGTGCTTGTGACCGTGAGTAATGACTTAGTAATGTATGAGTAATCGTCTGATTTATTGACTGAATAATGTCCTGGAGTGGTAGGTGTTACGAATTTGGGAATTGGTTGACGCAATTGAGGTGTTATGTGTAATTACCTGGATTAATGACTGAGTAAATGGGTAATTAGTGTCTATATAAATGAATAATTTTTAGTAATTCCTGTTTAAAGTTTGGGAATCGGTAGAATAATGAGAGTTGTTTGATGTAAAGACCTTGGATTTGAGGCGTGTTAAGCGTTGTTAATACATTACTTGACAACCTAACATTACATGTTAGATTTGTGGTTTTATATTAGACAGCAAATTGATAGTGGGTTGGGTAATATCTGGGTTAAGTGATGGTGGGTACGGGTCTTGTGCAGAAAATATATATTTTTTGCTGTTGCATGTTAAATACCTATGTTGTGCGTTGGTTGATTTTTTTGTTTTTGTGTGTGTGCATACTGACCTTTTATATAAGTCATTAATCATATTAATGTTTCTCACAATTTGACATTAATCATATTCATCAGTGGAATGTGTATTTCTTAATGACTTTAGATCTACCCCTTTTGTTTTTTGAGGAAAGGACTGTGACCGTGGGGTGTTATAATGGTTGTTTAATTGTAAGTTGAATACCTAACATTACATTTCAGATTTGGGTGTTTATGCTACACTGGAGATTATAATGACCTTTGCTATGTGAGGGCTGTAATTCACTCTTGTGTTTTTGTGTGTGGGTACTGCTGGTTCCTCATATGCAGTAGTTATTCTTGTTAATGGTTAAGAATTTTGGTCATTAATCTTGTAATGTACAGGGTGCAGAAAGGTGTGTATGTGATTGACTGTGGCTTGAGTCATTGGAGTGAGATTATGTGTTGTGGGGTGGTGGCTTCATGATATAGGTATTTTAATTTTATAATGAAATATGCCCTGGTCTGGCTTATTGAATGTGGGTTTGTTGGAATAGTGTACATGTTTAGTGGGTCATTAATCACCTTAATGACCTTATCTGTCGTGACGTTTTTTTTGTTTGTATATGGTGTGAGGTATGTTTGACGTTATGTTTTGGTAATGCAACACAGGTATACAAAAGGATGTGCGATGAAGGACTTTTGGTTGGGAAGACTAGACTGAAAGTTACATGTTTTTGCAATGTATGGGTTGGAGCAAACATTGTGGAGGGAGTGGTCAGTGATACAGATCTGTTAGAATTAAAGAAATCAGCATTTGGTGACTTCTTCAACCTAGGTGGAATTAAGTGGTTGACGGGTCAGTTGATGATTTTGTTGGCACTGAATTATGTGCAACCAATGAAGCGGACCGGAGATGTGGACAGGCTAAAGTTTCACATTGGTGACCGAGTAGTGGAGTTCAAGAAATCAGACTTTGCGTTGATAACCGGGATGAAGTTTGGGAAAAAAACCGAGTTTGTGGGTATTGATATGGATGAGCCTAATGACATAAGCATGAGGTATTTTGGAGGGAAAATGAGCGTAACACGTCAGGATGTGGAGCATGTGTTCAAGAATGTACGTGGGATTAGAGGTAAGAAGCCTATGGATGTAGTGAAATTGGCTCTGCTTTACCTTGTGTGCTGCCATGTCGTAGGGAACCAGGGGAGGACAAGGATCCCAGCACTTTACATGCATTTGGTTAATGACTTGGAGCTGTTTAATGACTTTGAATGGGGAGAGCACCTGTGGAAGGATGTGGTGGAGAGCATGGGCAAGTGTTCTTCGATCCTCAACACGGGGGGTAATGGTCGTTTTACATTCCCCGGATTTTTATTCCCCTTGCAAATTTGGTCATTTGAAACGTTCCCCCGTTTGATGGAGAATGGAATTTGCGCAATTGGGAAGGGCAGTGGATCCTTGTGTCTGAGAGCATTGCGTTGGGAGACTGGGGTGCGGCCTAAACATGATGTGTTGGAGAATTCAATCTTTGGAAAACCAGGGGTAATGTGCCTAAAAGAACTATATTTTATTAATTTCAAGACATTAATTTCTCTTACATGTACCTGAGTTTCTTTTAATGTATATAGGAAAGTGTCAACTGGAAGGAGATGGTTGCAACCCCCATGGAGCGTGGCATGGGAAACTTTGAAAGATTGCTAAGTGTGGGAGGTGCAGGTAATGGTAGCAGTTCAAATGCTTGTGGAGAAGCTGTTAATGAAGAATATGGAGCTGGCCGTAGGTCTTTAAAGGGTAAGTTTCATG